GGTGATGGTGGTGGTGATGGTGGTGGTGATGGTGATGGTGATGGTGATGGTGGTGGTGATGGTGATGATGGTGGTGGTGGTGGTGGTGGTGATGATGAACTGATCTACCAAGTACTGGCCAGTGTGTGTTCGCGCTCAATATAAGCTGATTACAGTGAAATCTCACCTACAAGCTTCCAGACTAAACGAGGTAGAATTAACCACTGAAATGCAAGGTGAAACAAGAGACGGTGAGTATGAAAAACATAGAAAACAGTGGCCCAGTTTGCATTATCAGGCTTTTAGCCTGTTATAGCCCATCACCATTATCGAGTGGAGCTCTGATGTGTTTATTCGAAATATTTGTTTCTTTCAGTTTAAGTGGCATGTCAGAGAACTAGCTAGTTTTAGTCAAGCGCATTGACGACTATAAACATTCAACAACACATGTTTTTAATTCTAATTTTCAGCCAAAGAACATTTGAATAGCTTCAATACTTACAATTGGCAAACTCCAGGCTCAAGATTTCCTGTAGTTCATATTGATCAATTTCTCCATCCTGTAAATTGAAGTGACCAGTCAGTTGCAAGATGGAGGAAGCCAAGAGGTGTTTTATCGTCGAGTAGGAAAGTGAGCGAATGCTAATAAAGTTGGAACGTCCTAGGAAAGCATCGTTACTTTGAAAAAATGCCTACTGTATGAAAATGCGTAAACAGAGAAACCCAGAGCGGGGGTTACTGCCGAAAGTAACATACATAAGTCAGAAACGTAATATTGCACGGCAAAAGGGCTGGATGTCTTCCTCGCCATATTTCCCGATATATTTCCTTAGGTTATTTTTTGCCATCTCTGGAAACAAAGACAAACGCCTTCACAAACCTCTCCTGAAAATTTCTGAAATGTTTTCCAAAACTGCTTGTCGATGTCCACGGCCTCCTCTGACAAAACTAAAGGCTTAAAGGAAGAAATAAAAAAAATCAGTTATGATCAATTTTAGGACGAAAGAAGGCAACATACAGCAGTGACACAATCAGCTTATTTTGCTAGCTGAAAGAAAAAGAAACAAACACTTATAAAATGCAGAGGATTAAACTAACCTATGAACGTCGTTCGATTATTTGCAACTGTGATGCAAAGCAAGCATTGAGGACCCATGATGAAGGGTGGCGGGATTAATCCCATTTCCCAGCCCCAAATTGTGATCAAATCCCCTTTCCCAGGCTGTTTGGGTGAATATTTAACGGAATACAGGATATTTGNGAGAGGAATGAATGGGACATGGGATATTATTATATCGAGTAGGAAATCGTTAATTTTTGACGGGATGTGGGACACTCAGACCCGCCTTAGTGGCGCCTTTTCTCAACTTTGCACGACATTTTCCTGGATGGCCTTCGTCCTTAACTGTATTCGTTTATTAACCCATAACCATTTAAACTCGACAAACCTTTGGTACAGTCACTATTTTTGTTTCCACGTCAATTTCACTGCAAAACGAGAGGAGGAGAAAGATGGAGAACTGTTCACTACAAAACCATGAGTTTTTGAAGCAATGTTGACAGGATTTTGAAACACTTGAAGACACAAATGTATCGCACAGGACATGCCCGCTCCCTTTGGGAGCTAGCCCCATGTAATCCCGACTTGCAGGGGAGCTATGTTAGAACACATGAAACAATCTTGTGCCGTATTCGCGTAGGAAATGGCCTGTCAATAACACGAAATATGACAAGGGAAATTCAATAAAACTGCAAAAAAGGAGAATTTTATTCAACTGTGTAGAAACCTTTCTTTAGTTATATCCGATCGTTATTGGTTCAAAGTATGTATTACGTAGAATTATTATGTGGCTGGTGTTAGAAGCCGATATAAAGCGTGTTTTGATTGGCTATTTTTAAGGCACTAAAAGCCATTCAAAGCTGTGCATACAACATTTTTTTCTTGAAATTCTGACTCTTCATGGTTCATTTCTTACTACCTTTATGTAGCTGCTGCTAGTTCAATAAACGCAACGGTTTTGACATCGCTTGCTCTCTTTTCTTAGTAGGGCATTAGCAATTCCTCGTAATGTCCGTGGGACAATCCCCGTCGGATTCTTAGAAACAACGTTGATGAATGAATATGGTGAATTTTAAGCTCGGTAATGAAATGTGAAAAGTGAACTGATCAACATGACACGATAACTTCGACAGTGCTGATCCTAGCAGTGGGCAGGACGCCTGTCACATATGAACTCAGTTAAATGACCGTGCTCTCCATGAGTTCTCTTGGCTCAGTGGATAGAGTGCCCAACCGGTGTTCTGGAGGTCACGGGTTCAATTCCTGTCGGGGACTCTTGTCGGGGATTCTTTGTCCCACGCTCGTGTCATGCTGATCAGTTCACTTTTCACGTTGATGAAATTTGTGTAATGAAATGTGAAAAGTGAACTGATCAACATGACACGATGACTTCGACAGTGCTGATCCTAGCAGTGGGCAGGACGCCTGTCACATATGAACTCAGTTAAATGACCGTGCTCTCCATGAGTTCTCGTAGCTCAGTGGATAGAGTGCCCACCCGGTATTCTGGAGGTCACGGGTTCAATTCCTGTCGGGGACTCTTGTCGGGGATTCTTTGTCCCACGCTCGTGTCATGTTGATCAGTTCACTTTTCACGTTGATGAACTTTGTTTCGTCGTCTTAAGATGAAAACACTACAGAAAAATTCAGTTTCGATTTCCACTTCGATTCTAAGCAAAATAAAAGCATTTTTAGACGGAATTTCCTTTATATTATTTCCCTAATAATGTTGAGGGGTTTGGAAAAAAGATTGAAAAGAAATCCATTGATGTGAGAAAAATTTTAAAAGTGCGTTTATAAATTTAACTACTTCCACCTCAATTATCTTCGGCAAAACAATTGCTATATAGTAAACTGCTAGCAAACTTGAACGGTCGGTCTTTTCCCTTACACTCGGCCTACATCGCAAAACCTTAGTTTGAGGTTTTCCTGCAAAGATCTCGCTCTCGATTAACAACTACTTAATATCTCACGCTTCTGTCAAATTGCTTTGATCATGTTTAATTTTAAATAAATACGTTACTGAGCTACGCATATGACAACTACATCGGGAAAATATTGGAACTCATAACTAAAATTTCTCAGCACAGGGAATATAGGTTAGTCAAAAAAACAAACAAACAAACAAACAAACAGACAAAAATCACGATTACTAACCGTGCCTCATGCGGTTTCTCCGAGCATATGCTTAAAAGGAACTCAGCTTCTTGTCGTGGGTGAAACGTGGATGGGACTAAGACGTACTCTCCTGGTGGCAGTGAGTATCTAGAGCTGATCTCTCTTAGCTTAGTAAAGGAGTTTGTCATGGCTGTTGCCTTGGTAGCCTCGAAAAACCGCCTGTCAAAACGCTCCTTGGAGTTGCGCAAGTCTTCTGGTACCTAGCATTAACGAAGAAATTAAACCACATTAACTGGCAAAAAAATCGCACTGAAAAATTCAGTTTGGTTGTTTAGTCTCAACATTGCTCGGGGAGTGGGAGGAGAGGGAAACTGCTGGACTGAAAAATAGTCTGCAAAAAACAATAGGCTATTTCCGAATAATCTTTTGCTTCTTTCTCAAAGCGAGTCTTGGTGCTCATCCTTTCATATGAAAATAAGATTTCATTTGCATGCAAATTAAACGCATTTTCACATGAATGGTTGTGCACCAAGCCTCGCTTTGATAGAGGGGCGTAGGGCAACTCAAAAATGAGCTGTTCCCATAAGCCTTCTGGGAGCACTAGGTCATGACCATCTTGGAAAAGAGTGGAACAAGCATGTCCCAAGGATGTGGCTAAATGGGCAAGCTCGGTACCAATCTCCCTGTGGCTCAGTGAGAAGTGTGAGGAATGTGACGGGTTGCATTTCCGTCGGGGAGTCAGAACTTTTCCTTTGTCTCATAATAACAATAACAATAACAACAACAATAACAACAACAACAACAATAACAATAACAATAACAATAACAACAACAACAATAACAATAACTAATAATAATAATCACTTTAGTTAAGTGTCGATGTATTTAGCACTGATGTGCTAATTGGGGACACTGTAAATAAATAAACAAATATTTCAAATATAACACTAGACGTTACATTGTAACGTCTCACGCTTACAAGTAACAAACTGAACACAGTTACTTAATTAATAAACTTAAAAGTCCTCTGGAAAAATATCCGCGAAATGCTCGTTTTACATCTACAGAGCACAGTTGCTTTCACTAAGCAACAGTTTCATAGTCACCTTATAGATAGCGAACCCAATAGAAGGTCGACTTTCGTTAGCTGGTGTTCTCTTTCGATCAATGCGCATGAGTGAAACTACAATTGAACAGCGATCTTCGTCATCGTCCTCATCGGGGTCTTGTAACTGAATCCTGTTAAACATAACAAAACTTCATAATTACGGAAGGCTAAATCCAGCCAACTACTACCTGCTGCCGATCAAAACCTAAAGTACAGTTTTAATTTGTGCTGTTCCTCAAAGGCACTTTTTGGTTTTCTCTTCCAGAGTCTATCTGACGATGGAAGACCATGGAAGAATTGCTGGTTCGTACGTCAGGTATGTTACACATTGGCACATTCCCGTCAAAAAGATACGCCTTCGCAAGCTATAGCGAAGCACACTAATTTTACAACTGGAAACTGATCGCGTACTTGCATTGGAGTTGCAGATGTATTTGGCTTAGAAATTTCTCTAGTTATGACAACTTTCGAAGAATTCAAAACAATTGGTAATGACTCTAACATTGATGATTTTCTTAACTGCGCTCTTTTTCTAATAGCGTGTTATAATTTTTGTCATTTTTGCTTTTGTTAAACAAAGTTCAAACCCTGAGGTTTAACAACCACCGGATCATGTTTTCACGGGGACATGTATTTCTCTCAATACCTTATTTGAGGATTGATGTGGTAAGTATCAATAAAGTTCCTGCAGCCACCAGCTGTAGCATCAGCCTGCCACCGGCCTTTCACTCGTCTTATTTTCCATGATTTTTTCTCGTTCTTTTCCAAAACACTGTCTGGGGTAAGCATGCATATGTCTATTCGTGTGAAATTCACCTGGAAATCCTCCACTGTCATCCTATGAATAGACAATTACTGATATAAAAGATTGAAATCCGCATCTTTCATATCTAAATAATTTTAAAACACAAACAGGTAGTCTGTATGAAAAGGACAATGCTGTTTGCTATTTTCAAATATCTCTTTGATAATCAATCTTTTAAAATATGCAAAATCAGTCATGTGTTGACGTCAAATTTGATGAAAAAAGATATCTCAGCCAATTTGTATCCCCGGCACTGATCGAGATATTTGCAAACGGTAAAATGCGTTTTTATTCTTTCCCGGAATCCTATATGATACACCTAAAAAACCCATGGGTGAAAAATTTGATCATAGTAGCACTTTAACAGTTTATTTGAAGCTAAGCTCCAAGTTGTGGAGGCTTCACCTCAATATCAGGCCGACAACTCTGAACCCAGTCAACTAAAACACTTCTACAGGTCAGAAAATTGCACTCACCAAAATTCTCCGTCATCGAGAAACACAAGGTTTAGTCTTTTTCTTTCCTCGGATGATAATTGATACCACTCTTCAGACCTGGGATGTGCACGTTAGAAAAGTTCGAGATGAAACAAGAATGGCTGAAGCCACTTTATGTATTATATTAAAATGCTACCGACTAGCTAGTTAAGGCTAGCTGAATTGAATTTAGTCTTGCTGAATATTCCAAATGAAGGCTAATGGTAGCCGTTTCTAGAAGCACATCAGTTTTCTTCTTAATAAAACTGGGTAAGAACTACTATAAAAAGTTAAAGACTAATAGCCATCTATACTCAGACACAGTTGCAGTTTAGCCGTAACAATTCTTTTGTGACGAAAAGATTACAATTCAAGCCAGTGCGATTCGTAATTATTGGTAAATCCAAACGCAAGCAAAAGCAGAGCACTGCAGGATTGCAAGTTCATCGTATTGCCGGCAGGTTTCCTTTTATCACCCTGCGGCTTTTAGAGAACAACTTCGGCATTGGTCAATATTAATGTTTAGCCCTAAAATGAGTTTCTTTCTCCAAGTTTATATTACAAGCTAAAGGGAGATTCGACTGCGTTGGCCCTTCCTCGTTTGTTCTGAAAATTAATTAAAAGTGATTGTCACCCGTCACTCCAAGCTCCCACCCATTCTGAGCTATCGCCATGAGGATTGCGGAGACGAATTAGCTTCAGTCCGCGCAAAGTAGGTAAATTAACCTGTGAATGGCAAAAGGCATATGTGAGAGGGAGGAAATAGAATTGACCGTAAAGAGGAAAGTAGGCAACTAAAAAACAAGTGCATTTCAGTCAGTCCAGTTTAACTGCGACGGTCAGTTTTGTTTTTGTAAACTCACTCAGCCTATTCAGTGTGTAATCAACAAAGAGGATCTGCATGCAACATGATGGTAACCAAGTTAAGCAGCAAGCTACACTTAAAGAATTGCATTGAGACCTGTGAGAAACGCCTGCATTGTGAGCAATTATTTCCATGACGCGTTAGTGAGGAGTTACCTTGGCAAAGCCTGTTATCGAATACGCATGTCCCGTTATAAGTCCATTTGGTAATCTTTCCGAAATGGTTTGTGCACTCGTCTACAGTAAATAGACAAAAACGAGAAAATCAATTAAAAATCATCATGGATTAACAGTCAATTATTACATTAGCTGGATTTAAATCGCAGGGTAAGGGTGAAAAGCGGATTCATGGCATGCCGTCCTCAAATATCACTTGCATGCAGTTAAATTTCCAGTCAAGTAGTTCCTCTCTGGAAACTGTATTTTTCCCTCCTCTATTTTAACAGCTTTTTTTGACTGTGACATTGTTTTTATTCGTTTCCAATTGCTCCAAGAGGCAATGGGGGGAAGGGAGGGCTTGGTCATTCTATCTTTTCACGAAGAAACGCCAGTAAAAAAGCCCAACGATCTGTCGGTTTGTATTTTATTCAATGACCCAACGAACTTATTCTTTGCACGCCTACATCCTTTGGGTAAAATTCTTTTACCTCTACTGAGGCACCCATCAGCGAGTTCCGCTCGTGCGCCTTTTGTAGAACTTTATTCACATCTAGTGAGCCCTCAGGTAGAGACGTTTGTAAGTTGATCGTCTCGATAAGGCCTCCAGTGAAATCTTGTAGAGCTTCACTTATTCGTCCTAAGCCCATGGCCTCGTAGGATCCACAAACTCTGCAATAACAAAAGACTCAGTCTAATCTAACACTCACTCAAGGAAACTCATATTAGAACTGAAACGTGATTTGAGGATAAGAGACCTATGAGTTTCCTATAGTATCCGCGATAATCTATGCGTCTGTTGGGCTTTTCAATGATCCAAGAAAAGCGTGTTGAACGCTATAAACAATGCAAAAAAGAACAAACACTACAAAACAAAACAAAACAACAACAACAACAAAAACAACAACAACAACAACAACAAATGATGGAAAATCAAAGTGACCGGGCACACATAACGTTTCTCACAGTATTGACTCAATGTAGATTTAGTTTGTATTTATTTCTATTTCATTGCATTGTTTTCAAGAATACAAAGACCTGGCATTTTCGAAAGGTTCCGAGGTTCTTTAGGGATCAGAGGTAATTGCTAGTAGCAGGCTTTGTAGAAGTTCACAGAGCATGCACAGGTCTATCAATACCTTGATTTTATCTTGAAGAACAGTTTCAAAATAGACGGGATACAAACGGCCAGTTTTAAAAAGAGCGACGTCACGGTGTGAGCGTCTTTTCTATCTTTGTAAACTACAATCATTGGAATATTTTAACCTGAAACTCTAAAAGACTTCGAAGGTTTCTCAATACTTAACTTACTTTGCATAAGCCTTCTCTAACAACGGGATCCAGAATTCCTCCGCCTCAACTGAACAAGCGTAATACAGCTTACCATTGTGAGTGGGAAGGAAATCATCAATAATAACCTCCACCCATTCACCGAACCGCCAAAAGTTAAATCTGAACATTCCGCAGTAAGTGGGTTCATCGAATCTTTGATCGGGGGGACACACTGCGTCAAACAACTCCTCGGCGTCTGTCAAAGATGCCAACGCAGCCACAAACCAACAGTTCTGCAATCGTCCTTGAGCAATGTCTGTCCGTCTGACTCTTGTGGTGAAGAACTTGGGTGTTTTGCAGATGTCCTGGAAGTTAAATGAGCAACGTCACGATTTGCGCATCTTGAAAAGTTTAACCTAAATTTTTCAAGTTCGTCGTTTGTAATCCGTGTCAATCTTCTCCATCGTTAACTAGTCTTGTCCCTTTATGGTTTATTTAGCCTCTTTTCTAGCTTAGTAAACTACTATTTTCAGGTTTCCTTGAACTGAAAAGTAGTTTTGCACCAGGCGAAAACAACTCAAAATCGCCGCGACTTAGCTCCTTTAAGTCAGACTTGACCTTTAACTACCGAAGAGTGGAAAACATCTGATATTAGAGAGCATAAGTATTGATTACGACAGCCTCGTCAAATANTCACCATAACGGCAACCAACGGCATAGCCACTTCCACATTTGAAGAAATGATTACACCACTGTTCTTCCTTTGCAAGGCACTTTGAACAGTTGGGTGGGCGCGGTCTCACTTCGCATCTTCCTTGTCCTCTTCCGCTGCTCCATCTGTTTCTCTCCCTTGTTCGGGCTGGGGGGTTGTCCCAGACCTAGCCTTAACCTCAGTCTTAAGTGCTTCAACTGCAGCCTTGAGTTCTTGAAGTTCTGATTTAATACTGTTAGTTGACTTGGGGTCCTCTTTTGGGGGCGGTACTTTACCAGGAGGTACTTTAGTTGGTCCTGGTGATTCCTGACCGATCTGGGACACTGTAGGTGATTTGCCTTTCGATTGGTTTCTCAGTTTCTTTATCCTTTCTTCCTCGGCTGAGACTACGAGGTTGAGCTCGTGAATTAGTTCTTCATCCTCAACTACTGGATTGTTTAAGAATGGGCGGAGCTTAGTTCTAATGCTGTCATCCTGGAGGCCAGTCTCAACGGTTCTGCGAAAGAGCTGCTGGACGTGACCAGTATCATACTTCAATGGGTCTTCCCCTTCCTGGCTTGCAAAGAGTATCTTCTGTCTCAAGTCGAGGGCTCGCATTACGAATGCTTGAGGTGTTTCTTTCCCATCTTGACAGATGGATGCTAAACTCTGGTACAATTCTGCAGTACTCTTAACCCCATAATGACTACGAAGAATCTTCTTCAGGCAGTCAAGTGACAGATCCTTAAAGGATTCCAGATAACTTCTTAAAACTAACCCAGGACTGATGGCGCGAATCACTCCAACCACAATCTCATGCTCGTTGTACTTTTGTTCAACACCCGTTTCAATTTGTTTCCGTAGTGAACTGTAATTCAATTTATCAGCTTGGTCTGGATCCACAATCTGGCCAGTAATCTTAAATTGACGTCGAAGTACACTCGTGGATTCAATAAGAGAATGCAAAGGGGATGTCATGCCATCACCTGACTGTGAATTTAACTCCTGCTTGACCTTAGCACAATCTACTTTACTCTCCGATTCCGTGGTTTTCTGTTTGTGAAGAAGCTTAAGTTCTTCGATTTCTTTCTTTTAAAAAAATAAACTCACTCTTATATTCTTTAACATCTTCGAGTGGCGGTGGAGTGCATCCAATATCTCAACGATAGCTTGGAGAAAAGTCACTTTTTCCTCTTACTCCACACCTGTTAACTCTTTCTCGATAACATTTGCGATTTTATTGATGATCGGAACCTTCGTTTTGTCCTTCAATTCCCCTTCATTTATCTTCAAATGCTTTGCAACCAGCTTGGTATTTTCTACGGTCGCTTTGCACAGTTCCGTGTGGATTCTTAATTGAAGCTCCTCCGCCATTTCTTACTCGAACTTTTATCATGACACTTTACTCGACGATACAGCTTCTTAGTTTCTTACCCCGTCTATTTGGTTGCATCACCATCACCAGAACAGTCCACTGGTCGTGCGGCCATATTTGCATCACTCGATGATATCGGCTGGTATTTGGACGTGTAAAGAACGGCGTTCTTTCCTTCTATCGGCTGAACTGCCCGGTCAGAAATACCAATTTTGTTACTCGCTCGCCGATAGAGCTTCAAAGCAGGATCTCGACCGTGACTCGAGTGGGAAACAGCGAACTAATCCACAAAGACAGTCGACACTTTCGACCATGTGCTTTCTTCTTTATTACACTTATACCGCAAGGGCTTATGCGAGTTACAACCCTAGGAGAATTATGGGTCACGACCCTCACAAATGCACTCAAAAAAAGAGAGGAAAAGAAGAGAGAGACAGAAAAAAAAACTACGCTATTAGGGAAGTCTGAAATAATTAAATTTGTATATGAGTATAAAATATTAATATATATAAGAGAAGCGGACAGTTAATTGCTAATTCTGAAATAAAAACATACCTTTGGTCTCTTCCATTGCAGGTTTACAGATGGCTTCGTCTTGGTGGAGAGGCTGCGGAAATTTGGCGGGAACTCTCTGTCTTCATACAACTCTCCACTCCTTTGTAGCTGTCTCTGAAGAGATAGGTACTTCTCTCGCGGTAACGCGCGCTTAAGGGACATCGATTATAAAGTGCTGCAACTACTAAGCACCTGATATTGAAATTTGGAAAAAGAAAGCAAAATTAGTCTACAGATGCTGACAAAGGGCATTTTATGTCCTACAACGTAGGACATACCTTCTGTATGCAAGACCGTTACAGTTCAGGAAGATATTGAAAAAGACAAAGAAGTAAAAACCACAGCGTTTTTTTCCAGAAGGAGTTTTAGTGAGCAGGATTTAACCAGTACAAACATGGATTCCCACTCCCTAGCAGATTTCAAACAGAGCAGTTTGGAGCTAAAACGTCAGTAGAAACGTTGCACCGATGCCGCGCAAGAAATCGACAGAAACACTTCTCCTAGTCTCTCAGACACAATCAAACCAAGTCTGTTTCACGGATAAGAAACAGAAAACTTTGAACGTTGGTTTGCGAAATGTAAACTACACCTGGAGCGCCGTCGAATTCGACTCACAAGTGAAACAGCACTTGTTGAACTAGCCCTGCACTTAGCGGCGCCTGCTGAATCACTTTTCCGCTCGCTCTCCGACAGTGATAAAGAGTATTTTGATTCCCTGAGCGATGCCCTACGGGAACGATTTTCATCTAAAGATCGCGATTGGCGCACGCGTCAAGTCCTCTCTTCAAGGAAAAGAAGACCAAGCGAGCTCTTGGACAAATACATTGAAGGGCTAGACCTGCAGAACGGCTCTGACTGTCTTGAATTATCGGAAGACGAAAAAGTCTGGTTTTTCACTCAAGTTTTACGCCCTGATACACAGCGAGATGTACTGATGCGCAAACCCCGAACATTCAGAGAGGCAGAAAACTCTGCTTGGTTAACTCAGACAGTTCAGCAGTCCCCACAAAACACCAAGGGAAATGACGCCCTTTCCCGCATGCAACAGCGACTTGACACTCTTGTCTCCAGTCTAGAAACTAACGAGAAACTAAAGGAGGCTACTATCTCCGCTTACCAGTACTCGCCCCAGATTTCCATGGAAGAGAAACTCACTAATCTTGAGAAAAAAGTCGTGACTCTCTTTACTGGTACACACCTTCACGACACTGCCATCGCAGCCTATCAACCCACATCACGAGATAACTACACTCGTGACAGCACAAAAGATGACGCAATTAACCGCTTGCGAGAAGAAAACCGCCAATTAAAGGCCGGTCAGAGAGATCAACCCCAACGAGGAAGGAGCAGTGATAGCTATGTCAGGCTAATTTCCTGAAAGTTCTAGATCAGCACAACGAAGTCACTCCTTCTCTCAATAATGGAGAACCAGCACCAATTTCCCCTCAGCCTGCGTAGCTTGGCGGTTTAAGCAATTTGAGCGTGAGCACGAGCACGAGGCGGCAAAGCCGCGAAAACGAGCTCCCCCAGGCTCCTCGCGGCTTCGCCGCTTGTTTTCGCTTAAACCGCCAGGCTACACCGGCCAAAGATCACCAAGATAGCTCGTACTATGAGTTAGTGTGAAGTAATGTCAAGAATAAAGAAGGTTTGTTGAGCTCCAAAGAAGTCTCCTGGTTTTCTGCTGTGTCGTCGCTGTAGTAGAGCATAGAAACAAGTTCCCTGTGCCTCTGGCATCACATAACGAGTGCCGGCTGTCAAGCCAGTGGCTCAACCGAGTTATTCCCCATTCTGCAACATTCCGCAGCGAAGATCACTATCATGCCAAACCATTTATCCGTTCACCCGTCAAGTGTTTTAGCTATTAACCGAGATATTTGCCAAACTCCCAAGCTAAGCACAGGCAATCACACGACTAGCGAACCATAAAACTTAACGTTACAATAATAAGATAATTTCAGTCAATACTTGGAGTAAGTGGGACATGTTATCGGACAGAAGGGCCTATTGGCGGCGAGCGGCCTTAAACATTGTTACGGAGATTTCATTGCTGGCAAACTGCCAACAGCCTGAGAATAATAGAGACGTTCGCGCCAAAAATGTTACTAAGTACAGATTTTTTTTAAAACTTGCGATGTAGTAAGGCAAAGATATGCGATCACTTTTGCCAAAAAGTAAAAAAAACAAAAACAAAAACAAAAAAAAAACATGGGGTGTCACCGCGTTCGTTTTCGAAATAAGGCGCATTGAAGACCATGCGTGTTTTTAGAAGCTTTTGTTATTTAAGAAGATCTCAGCGTACGACTATCAGGAATGTTACTAAAACTAGTAACGGGGATCGGGTAACAGGGAACGGGGAACGGGGAACGGGAGTCTGGGAACGAGTGTACAGCGGTAACCCGCGTGAAAATTGAACATGGCGGACAAAAGAAAAGAAAACAGAACAATTTGGGGAAATGTGAGGAAGTGTTACGATTGTAAACGTGAGTTTCTACCGGCTGTGCCACCAGATCATGGCCCAGTACGTTCTTGTTAGAGCAGAGTCCGATTGGTACTGGGATAAACAAAGCATGAAATGGCGCCTGGGGTGAAAATCGAATCGGTATTATCC